ACTCTTTCCTGCCCAGGGCAGGGGGTCAGACTCAATGATCTACTGAGGTCCCTTCTGACCCAAACATCTATGAATCTATGAATTATTTTATCATGATGATGTTTATTTATGATCTATGACTTATGGTTTTATTATTGATTTTTTTCAGTGGGTGCAAGAGATTTTCAGTCCCTTGTGTGAGTATGTTGTAATCCAGCCTCTACTTACCCATGCTTCTTTTTTGTTGCTGATGGAAATCATAGCATTGTCAAAGAAAACGTAGAGGGCGACATCAGCTGCTGCGACCTTCTCGTTGCACTTCCTGACATTCACAACCACTCTAAACCAGGAGGGGGAACTGTCATTGCAGAGGGAAGCCAGGTTGTAAAACTTGTTGGGGAGAACGTTCCCTGAGACACCATCAAAAGAGGTGAGCCACGTTCCCGAGGCCAGCGTGCACCGAGCTTCCTGCTTCACGCAGATGCGTGCCCCATCCTTGACCTGGCATTTCTCCCCTATCAGGCACTTGGCTTCCCTGCACTCCAGTTTGCCCATCTCATGGCAGGTGCACTTCTCTGAGCAGTCATTGGAGAAGAAGGTCTGACCTGGCTAGAAAGAACAAAACAGAAGAATTGTGTCATGCTCACTGTATCCAAGTGGAAGACACCTGATATAGAATCATAGAACATGAAGGTTGGAAGGGACCTCAGAAGGTCACATCTAGTCCTTATAGTGGCAGCCTATAAGTATGTAAGGGGTTTGCATCCAGAACTGGGAGAACGTCTGTTCACCAGGGCATCCCAAGGGAAGACAGGGTCCAATGGTCACAAACTGCTGGAAGACTTTTAGACTGGACATACAGAAAAATGTCCGATTCTCCAGAATCTGGGATGGACTCCCCTGAGAAGCGGTGCAAAGTCCTACTCTGGATACCTTTAAGAGATGCTTGGATGCTTATTTTGCTAGGGTGATCTGACCCCAGCTGACTTCCTGCCTCTTGGGAAGGGGGCTGGACCTGATGCTCTTGCAAGGTCCCTTCCACCCCTAATGTCGATGAAGTCTATGAAATCTAGTCCAACCCCCTGCTCCAAGCACGACCAGCCCCAACTAGATCAGCCCAGCTGATCTACCTTTGTCTACGCTTTGAACACTTTGAACGCTTTGTCTACCTGGGTCTTCAAAACCTCCAAGGATGGAGACTCCACTACCTCTCTGGGTAGCCTGTTCTAGTGCTTTACTACCCTCCTCATGAGACAGTTCATAGTTTCATAGTTGGTCGGGTTGGAAGGGACCTGAGTAGCCACCCTGACTGTGAAGTAGTGCCTCCTGCTGTCTAGCCTGAACTTACTCTCAATCAACTTATGGCCATTATTCCTTGTCACTCCAGGAGGCACTTGGGGGAACAGGGACTCTCCCATTCCCTGCTGGTCCCCTCTGGTAAGTTTATAGACGGCCACCAGATCCCCTCTCAGCCTTCTCTTGTGGAGGCTGAACAGGTTCAGGTCCCGTAGCCTCTCCTCATAGGGCCTGCCCTGCTGCCCCCTGACCATGCGGGTGGCCCTCCTCTGGACCCTCTCCGTGCTGTCCACATCCCTCCTGAAGTGCGGCGCTCAGAACTGGACGCAGTACTCCAACTGTGTGGCCTGACCAATGTGGCGTAGAGGGGGAGGATCACCTCCTTGGACCTGCTTGTGATGCATCTATGAATGCACGACAAGGTGCGGTTGGCCTTCCTGACCGCGTCCTCACACTGTCGGCCCATGTTCATTTTGGAATCAATAATGACTCCAAGATCCCTTTCTGCCTCTGCACTGACGAGAAGGGAGTTCCCCAGCCCGTAGGTGTGCTGCTGGTTCTTCCTCCCCAGGGGCAGCACCTTGCACTTGTCAGTATTAAATCCCATCCTATTCTCATCCGCCAACCCCTGTAACCTGTCCAGATCTAGTTGTAGCCTGTCCCTCCCTCCTATCACGCCCACCTCTCCCCACATCTTAGTGTCATCTGCGAATTTGAACAAGGTGCTTTCCACCCCCTCGTCCAAGTCACGGATGAAGATGTTGAACAGTGCGGACCCAAGGACTGAGCCCTGGGGGACCCCATTGCCCACATCCCTCCAGGTCAAAAATGACCCATCCACCACCACTCTCTGGGTGCAGCCCTCTAGCCAATTTGTGACCCTAATATCTAACCTAAATTCCTAATATCGAAGCTAAAGTCAACTTCTTCAGAGCTGTCTTGTCCAGTCTGAGAACTGTAAGGTAGTCCACTAATCCAACACCTACCTCAATGTAGTGTCCATCCCTCATGCAGCCGCATTTGCCCATGGATACGCACGCCTCTCCATCAAACATGTAGCCAGTGTTGCACTGGCAGCCTTCGAAACACCTCCGGATGCACTTGGTAGGAGTTGTCAGACTGGCACAAGTGAGATCACACGTCTTGGTGCACAGCTCATAGTGGCTGTTAGCTGGGCAAGATAAGGCTGGAGAGAGAGAGGGAGAGAGAAGCAAATGAAACAAAAGGGAGGATGAAGGTTAGTTTGGTTAGACACCAGGCCCAGGAAAACGTTTTCTTATTGAAACTGATATTCAACAGAAATTTGGCATTTCATTCAAATGAGATTTTCTAGCCTGATTGCCATAGAAAACTTCTGTTCATTACTGGAAACTCAAACACCCAGAAGAGGAACTATTTTGGTCTGAAAATATGGCTGTAGTGTGAGGGCTTCATGTCCTTATTCCTCTCTAGGGACTGGACTCTCCAGCTGAGCTACCTCTTTCATGGTGAACATGTCCAGGAGCTCCTAGGATGGACTGTCTCCCCTCTTCAAGAAGAAATCTTGGTGCATTACGGGAGATGTCATCCAACCAAGAAGCTGAATTGATTGAGGAGACTGAAACCTTCGGGAATGTGGCTGAGCTACACCTGAAACTTTGATACTCTTCAGTATAGAAAACTTCATGGAACAGCTTGGATGTTACCTGTAAGATGGACCCTTCCCAACAATGTTAGGCTTGTGATATTTGAAAAAACCCAGCACCTAGGAGGTCTGATGTTCAAAACCATGATAGATCAAGATCCATTATGTGCCACCACATTCAAGGTGGGTCTACAGATTATTCTGGTAACTTACGGCAGAACGAATCCTTTCTCCATTCTCTGATCGTAGCTCCCTCTGCCTGGCATGTGGCTGCGTAGGCCTGAAGGCTCTGACAGAGGGTCTCTCTCGCCCCATTGGCAGCACACATGACATGGAGGCAGTGGTGGAAGTAGTCATCAGGGCTCACCAGTGAGTGACAATCTTGGAACGGGCCTGAGCGAGCTGTGATCAACCCACAGGAGGTCTCAGCCTGGTATGGTTTCTTCTTGGCTGCATCACAGACAGGGCATCGTCCATCACATCCCTCGGAGCATGTGGCACCATCATCGAGCACCCTCCAAGAAGACTCAAACTCACTCATGCTTTTGGCAATCTTCTCACTGGGCAACAAGAGGTCATCATTTTTATTGCCATTGTAGTTACCGCACAAGCCACGTGTTTGTCCCTTGTAGGTGCTGGGGACAGTCACCAGCACATAAGACGAGGTGTCATAAAGGACTTGAAATCCAGCAGCAGATTGGAGAACGATGTTTTTCCCCTCCTGGTTGATCTGAAGCTTCCCTTTGTTTATAGCCACTGGTAGACTGTACAGCTCCCCATCCACCTGTGCCAACGAAAGGGAAATTTTACCTCTGGTTGATGGGACCTGAAGGGTGCCTACAAAGAGGATGGAGCTAAACTGTTCTCAGTGGGGGCAGATGACAGAACAAGGAGCAATGGGCTCCAGTTGCAGCAAGGGAAGCTGAGGTTAGATATTAGGAAGAACTCTCTCATGAGGACGGCAGAAAAGCACTGGAGCAGGCTACCCAGAGAGGTTGTGGAATGGAGATCTGGGGGTTTTGAAGACCCATCTAAACAAAGCCCTGGCTGGGATGATATAGTTGGGGCTGGTCCTGCTTGAAGCAGGGGGTTGGACTAGATGTGACCTCCTGAGGTCCCTTCCAATCCTCATTTTCAATGATTTTCTTCATTTTCTATGATCTATCTATGATTCTATGGCTCAACGGACTGGGCATGCATATGGAATCAGTGCCCCATGAGACATCAATAAGATCAAACAAGATACTTACCGCAACCTTCCACCTTGTTCCTCTCTTCATGACGATGGTATGGCCATCAACAGAGACCTTGATTGTCTTTGTCACGGACACCCAGTCTTTACCGGCCCTCTCGTTTTCTATGACCACCAGGAAGATTTGCAGCTTGGCATCGATGCTGTTGACTTCAGCCAAGGTGTAAGTGCAATTACTATGTAAATTGAAGGTGTTTCCATCAAAAGTAACATAGTAGGAATCACTCCATGCTATGCACTTTCCAGACTCAGAGGCATAGCAGCCTTGGACACCATGTATCACCTTGCACTCCTCATTGGCACTACAGGAGATGTCTTGGCACTTGATGACCCCACTGTCGCTGCACTGGCACCGTTCCTCACAGGAAGTGCTGGTGTAGAACTCCTCCCCTTTCTTGTAGTACCTGCCTTGGTGCATGCAGCCACAGTCTGTACTTGGGATGCACTTGTCACCACTCAAGATGAACCCGTCATTGCAGAAGCAGCCTTCTCTACAAGGAAGTTCACACTCATCTGGATCCAGCACATTATGGCAAGAGTTAGGGCAGCCAGTCCCACAGAACTCATAGTGTGTGTTTGAGGGGCAGTTGAAACCTGAAAGAAAGAAATGAGCAGAGGCTGAGGGAACTGGGATAATTTAGTCTGGAGAAGAGAAGACTGAGAGGGAATTGAATAGCAGCCTTCAGCTCCTTGAAGGGAAGTTTGAAAAAGGATGGAGCTGGACTGTTCTCAGTGAGGGCAGATGACAGGACATGGAGCAATCGGCTCAAATTGAAGCAAGGGAAATGTAGGTTGGGTATTAGGAAGAACTTTCTCACTCAGAGGAAAGTAAAGCACTGGAACAGGCTCCCCACAGAGGTGGTGGAGTCTCTCTCTGTAGCGTGGGCCAGTTGCAATGGCATGAACTGAAAGACAAGTCTAGGAGGTCACACTTACTGCAGAATGAGGCTGATCTCCACTGCCCTATCCAGATGCTCTGAGCCTGACAGCTGGTCACGTAGCTGCTGATAGCATGGCACATCATGTTGTGATGACCACTGTAGTGGCACGTGTCAAAAATGCAGTTGTCAAAGTAGGGAGCCGGGTCAATGACTCTGTGGCAGAGAGAAAATGGCCCGTTCTTACGTGTGATGATCCCACAGTATTTGTCGCCTTTGTAGACTTGCATCTGCAACTCCCCACATACAGGGCAGTCACCAAGGCATTCCTTCCTACACCCAGGGACTTCCCTGACTTTCCAGCTGTTTGCAAACTGAAGCTCATCAGATGTCTGAATTCCATTCTTCATCATCATATCATCTGTGGCATCTTCATTGTTGTTCCCGCAGAGCCCACACATGGCATCAGCATAGGTATTGGGAACGAGGACCCTGGTGTGACTGTACCAGTCAAAGCTCACTCTCAGACTGAAATCAGTCTGGATGAAGCCATGGACTCCGCTGATGTAGGCCTTCAGCTTGTCTTTATACTGGAAGGGCAGGTTTACAAAGATGCCATCCACCTGAGAAAGACATGATAGACACCAGTATAGAATCATAGAAAATTCGGGTTGGAAGGGACCTCAGGAGGTCACATCTAGTCCAACCCCCTGCTCCAATCAGGACCAACTGCAACTACATCATCCCAACCAAGTCTTTGTCCAGCTGGGTCTTCAAGACCTCTAAGGATGGAGATCCCGCCACCTCTCTGGGGAGCCTGTTCCAGTGCTTCACCACCCTCCTTGTGAGAAAGTTTTCCTAATATCTAACCTCAACTTCCCTTGCTGCAACTGGAAACCATTGCTCCTTGTTGTGTCATCTGCCCCAATGAGAACAGTTCAGCTCCATCCTCTTTACAACCACCTTTCAGGGAGTTGAAGGTTGCTATTAAATCCTGCCTCGGTCTTCTCTTCTTCAGACTAAATAAGCCCAATTCCCTCAGCCTCTTCTCATAAGTCATGTCCCTCAGCCCTTTCACCATTGTTGTCACCCTCCAATGAACTCTTTCCAATCGGTCCACATCCTTTCTGTAGTCAGGGGCCCAGAACTTCCTCCCAACTGCAAAGATCTTTTAACACTCCCACACCTCATCAACTGTCTGTGGGTATGGGCTGGCGAGAACAATCCTACTCTGACCTATAGGGGAAACATAACAGGGTTTTTCATCTCTACTGGGAAAAGTCCCCAGACTTGACTGTTGGGAACAATTTGTGAGGGACAGACCAGATTAGGCTGTTTCACTTCTATGTTTCCACGGGGAACATATTTTACACTTACATACCTCCTATGACATAAAATAATTGTTGTGGGGTGATAGGGAGGCTAATTTGTTAAGAAGGCATTAAATCAGGATCTGCTGTGCACCTTGGGTGTGAGATGGAGACAGTGTTGTGAGTTAGCAAAATGTATTTGGTCCAGAGTAGATATGACAGCAGAGGAGCAATGTTACAAAAGAAGATCTGTGGTTGTAAAATGAAAGTGATAATGACACTCTTATTATGGGAGGAAATGGTCCTGCCAGCTGTCAGAAAGAGGCAAGAAGAGGACTCGTCTGAGACACAAAGAGGCTAGCTTTAGTGGTAGAGAAAGACATCCCTTGCTCTAACTGGGTTCCAGGTGACATCATTAAACAGTCACTCAGGCTCCAAGAATCAGGAAGATATCTCCTTAGTGCAAAATAGGTCAGTGGGAAATCATAGACACTGGTTAATCTGTGTGGTCAAATGGGATATGGTGAATCTCCATCTTTCGGAGTCTTCAAGTCCAGACTACCTGTCTTTCTAAAATGAAAGGCGGGTTCTACCTATGGCTGAAATTCTGTGACTTTGGTTACACTGGATAATCATCATGGTCCGTCTCTGCTTTCAAATCTGTGAGAAACGTACAGTGGAGCCTGAATGAGGGACATACGGACTCTGGATGGGAGAACACTTCACTCAAGCAATTGGACAATGAGTCCAACAGTTGAGCAGTTGGACAATGAATCCAATGGTTGGACTCTGCAGCTGGGCTGCTTCTTCCATGATGAACATGGCCAAGAGCTCCTATGATGAACTGTCTCCCCTTTTCAAGACAAAAACTTGGTGCACTATGGGACTCATTGTCCATAGTAAAGTGCCCTGGAGAGTTTATTGGGTTTGGGATGGGGTCTGGGTACTGGCTGTCTCTGACACACGTGGGGCAGGTTGAGGGATACAGTCTGAACTTGGAGGATTAAAACCACACGCTTGAGTGAATGGTGTCTCCCCAGCCTAGACACTAAGGTATCTGGGAGAACCTGTCAACCCCAAGAGACTCTCGTTCACTGTATTTGGTTCCATACCTGAATCTTCTGCGGGTGCTCCTGGCTCAGACTGATGGTCATGTTGTAGATGTCCAAGGTCACCACTTTGGTGAAAGACACAGCTGTGCTGCCACGATTGCTGTTCTCCACTTGGACGGTGAATGGGACAAGCCTGGGGTCCGGAGTGCAGACCCCAGCCAGCTGGTAGACACAGGTGCCCACGAAATCATATTTCTTCCCATCAAAGGTGGTGTAGTGCACGTCTCCGGTTGCTATGCAAGTAGTGTAGTTGACCTCATGACAGCCCCGGACCCCATCCATCACTACACATTTCTTTCCGTCTTTGCAGCTGGATTTTCTGCAAACTACCTCAAGCCTTTCCCCTCTGCGTTCACATTTGCACCAAGAGCGGCACATCTCATCTCCCCAGAACTCCTCGTCAAGCTTGTAGGAGCGGTCATTGTGCATACAGCTGCAGGCTTCCTCGGAGATGCATTGGCCAGCACTGAGGACATAACCAGTGTTACACTGGCAGATCTCAGTGCAGGGCTTCTCACAGGAAGAAGGAGCTGTTTGGTCAAAACAAGTAGCTGGGCAGGCATTTCCACAGATCTCGTAGTGGCTGTTCTCAGGGCAGGACAGAACTGGAATCACATCAGAGAAAGAAAGACTTAACACCCAGTGCAACAAAGTGAAACACTTGCGTAGCCTGCATCGGTACAGGCTAGGAACCAACTGGCTGAGCAGCAGCTCCGCAGTAAAGGACCTGGGGGTGACAGTGGACAATAAGCTGAACAGGAGCCAGCAGTGTGCCCTTATTGCCAAGAAGGCTAATGGCATCCTGGGCTGCTTTGGTAGGAGCGCTGCCAGCAGATCAAGGGAAGTGATTCTGTCCCTCTATTTGGCACTGGTGAGGTCACATCTGGAGTCCTGCATCTAGTTTTGTGGCCCGCACTACAGAAAGGAGGTGAACACATTGGAGAATCCAGAAATGAAAATGTTTTGAGGGCTGGGGCACATGACTTGTGAGAAAAGGCTCAGGGAACAGGTCTTATTTAGTCTGGAGAAGAGAAGACCGAGGCAGGATTTAATAACAGCCTTCAACTCCCTGAAGGGTGGTTCCAAAGAGGACGGAGCTGGACTTTTTTCAGTGGTGGCAGATGACAGAACAAGGAGCAATGGGTTCCAGTTGCAGCAAGGAAAACTGAGGTTGGATATTTGGAAAAATGTTCTCAGGAGGAGGGTAGTAAAGCAATGAACAAGCTACCCAGAGAGGTGGTGGCATCTCCATCCTTGAGATCCAGCTAGACAAAGCCTTGTCTGGGATGATGTAGTTGGGGCTGGTCCTGCTTTGAGCAGGGGGTTGGACTAGATGTGACTTCCTGAGGTCCCTTCAACCCTCATTTTCTACGATTCTAAGAGCTGCCATAGACTAGTGTCACTGGCATGGACACACTACGAAGTGCCATAATGCTTTCCTCTCCATGGTACAGAATGATAGAAAGTTAAGAGTTGGAAGGGACCTCAGGAGGTCACATCTAGTCCAACTCCCTGCTCAAAGCAGCATCAGCCCCTACTAGATCATCCCAGCCAAACTAGATCATCCCAGCCATATCTCCTTTCCCACAAGGAAAGGAACAGGGGAATAATTTTGGTGTTCACTGAATGAAAAAAACCCAGTTCCTGGTTATGACTACAAACAAATCCCCTGATGTTATGAGGTGGTCAACATGTTATGGGAAAAACATAGTGAGAAGGTAGAGGTATTTAAAATGAAGTGAGGCAGTGAGTGCGAGAGACTGTGTAGGAAGCAAAAGTTAGTGCCAGCTCCAGTGCCCCAGCGTGGTAGTAGGAATCATGTCTCAAGAGGGCCTTCTCTCCCTGTGGATTCACTTCTAATGCTAGTACAAAGGCAGGGGGCACTACCCTGCACGGAACAAAGTAGGGGGTTGAGTAATGGGTGCTTTCCCTGGATGTTCATGCTGGCCCCCATGTCCCAAGTACCCAGAGATTCCCAACCTCATGCTCACTGCCCCTCTCCCCTCTTTCAGACAACAGACAAACCAGTCCCATTTTTTTTGGCACCAGCAAGCAAACTAAACTGTAGGGCTCACCACAGCCGGACAGCATCCTCCAGCTGCGGAGGGGGACTCCTTGCTCCAGGCAGGCATTGGCATAGGCTTCCAGCTCACGGCACAGGCCCCTGTGGGTCGCCCCATCCAGGCACATGCTTTGGATGCAGGTGTGAAAGAAGTCGTTGGGATTGACTGTGGCGTGACATTCTTGGAAGGGCCCCTTTGCTGTTTTCTTAATAAGCCCACAGTGCTTCTTGTCACCGTAGAGACGCTTCTTTCCAAGGTCACATGGCAAACATTGCTCATGGCAGCTATCCCAGAAGGGTGGGGAGCCGTCATGAATTGCCCAGCGGTCGGAAATGTCCTCTTCAGAGAAAACGCCCAAGGGGAATGTGGGATCATCCTCAGAAATGCCATTGAAGTTCCCACACAGCCCACAGCTGGTTCCATGAGTGCTAAAGGGGACAGTCACCATGATGGTCCAGTCTTTGTCATAGATCACCTTGAAGCCAAAATCTGTCTGTAGGGCAAAGCGACCGTTGCTCTGGGAGAGGTGGATTTTGCTGCCTTTCAGGGTCACTGGGAGCGCGGTGGGTACCCCATTCAACTGGAGAGAGAGAATGGGGGTGGTGGGGGGAGAGGAGAGAGAATCACTGCTCTGAATGCAACACTCTGCATACTCGGTAACACTTGGAGTTGATCTGAAATTCTCCATCAAAATGCTTTTCTGACAGGAGACAGGTTTTGAGAAAACATAATCATGAAATTGTATCAAGCCGCAAGAGAATCAACACCACAGCCCGTGCCTCCATACTTTCTGTGATGTGACATGGCGTGATATATTAGCAGGAGCGTTACCATCAGATGGAGGGAATCATAGAAAATGAGGGTTGAAGGGACCTCAGGAGGTGACATCTAGTCCAACCCCCTGCTCCATGCAGGACCAGCCCCAACTGGATCATCCCAGCCAAGGCTTTGTCTAGCCAGGTCTTCAAAACCTCCACGGATGGAGATCCCACCACCTCTCTGGGGAGCCTGTTCAGTGCTTCACCACTCTCCTTGTAAGAAAGTTTTTCCTAATATCCAACCTCAACTTCTCTTTGTTGCAACTGGAAACCATTGCTCCTTGTTCTGTTACTTGTCACCACTGAGAACAGGCTAGCTCCCTAAATAGAGAGGCAGTTCTCCCTTCTCTATTCAGCACTGGTGAGGCCACATCTGGAGTCCTGTGTCCAGTTTTGGGCCTGCCACTACAGAAAGGAGGGGAATACATTGGAGAGAGTCCAGCAGGGGGCAACAAAGATGCTTGAGAGGCTGGGGGACAGGACTAGTGAAGAAAGGCTGAGGGAATTGGGCTTGTTTAGTCTGGAGAAGAGAAGACTGAGAGGGGATTGAATAGCAGCCTTCAACTCGCTGCAGGGTGAATGGAGGATGGAGCTGGACTGTTCTCAGTTGGGGCAGATGAGAGAACAAGGAGCAATGGGCTCACGTTGCAGCAAGGGAGGTTGAGGTTGGATATTAGGAAGAACTTTCTCACTAGGAGGGTAGTGAAGCACTGGAAGAGGCTCCCCAAAGAGGTGGTAGCATCTCCATTCTTGTAGGTTTTGAAGACCTGGCTTGACAAAGCCTTGGCTGGGATGATGTAGTTGGGCTGGTCCTGCTTGGAGAAGAGAGTTGGATTAATGTGACCTCCTGAGATCTCTTCCAACCCTTATTTTTTTTATATCTCTATGAAATAATAAACACAAAATGCTTTGACTTTATCTAAATGTAATCTTTTGGCAATTTTTCAATGCAAATTCTAGAGCAAATTTGCTCTGGCAAAAATGTCTTGATTTCATCAAACTGATATTTTCTGATGGGAAGCTACAATTCTTGGTAGACCCTTCTTCCTCGTAGAACTAAACTAAAATATTAGGGTGTGTAAAGACTAGAACAGATTGCCTAGAGGCTTTCCTCCAACTTCTGTGGAGTTTCTGCTGCTCTTTAGTGACTAGCATGACATTTATTAGTGCCTGCCTTTTGGTTGTGTTTTAGTCAGCCTAATAACACTCAATTTGGAGCTGTGCCTATGTGGAAACCCCACCCCTGGCTGGGTTGTTGGCTGTGATGGTTGAACCTTACCCGTGTCTCTTTCTCTTTATTCACAGAAACCACAGTATTGTCGATGGAAATGTAGATGGCCGTGACGGTTTCAACATGTGTCTTACTGGACTCTTTGACTTCTACTACCACCCTAAACCAGGACGGAGCACTGCTGTTGCACAGGGAAGCCAGGCTGTAGATCCGGTTGGACGGGACTTTCACTGAAGCACGGTCAAAAGTAGTGAGCTGTGCTCCCGAGGCAAGCATGCATTGGCCTTCTTCCTTCACGCAGCGGCGCTCTCCGTCCCTGACCAGGCATTTCTCCACAACCAGGCATTTGGCTTCCTTACAGTCGAGCTTGCCCAGCTCAAGGCAGGTGCACCTCTGTGAGCAGTCGCTGGAGAGGAACGTCTCCCCTGGCTGGATGGAACAAAACAGAAGAGCTGCATCATGGGAATGACTGAACCTCCCCTGTCCTCAGACATGGGAATTAAGCATCTCTCAACTATTCTTGGCATGGACAAATGCTCTCTGTCCATGTAGGGTATATACCTGCACTGAAAACATTCTTGTGGACCTGATGCAATCCGGAGATGACCACAACAAGGAAAACAGTGATCAAGAAGGTAGAAATCACAGGGATGGCCAGAAGACATGAGGCTACATCTCCAGTCTCCAGCTCCCCAGATCTCCTTAGAAGTGGAAGTGTTGTTGGAAGGAACCTAGCTCATCTGCAACCAATCAGCCCCTCTTCAACTTTGGACTGAATTGAAGCCAACATCCTGGATCAACCAGTCAACTTTTCCTCACAAGTGACTCTGAGTCAAAGTCTTTCTCCATGTGCTAAATTGGATCTTGTGCCCTTAAACTGAAAGTCTCCATATTCCTTCCTAGGCAACTCAGTTTCCCTTCCACCGTCCCCAAAGACTTTTTTTCAGATTCCCACTGGGCCTGTCTACATGTGCATTTACTGCACAGCACGCAGTTTTTAGGCCAGTGTCTACACATGCAGGCATTACAGTGCAGTAACGCTGTGTGTGGACTGACTTGGGACTAAAGTTAGTCCCAAATCAATCCATGCACACAGTGTTACTGTGCAGTAAGGTGACTACACTTGCCTTACTGAGCAGTAAATAATTGGGCATGAATTTGCTACCTGCATCATGCAGGTAGCAAATTTACACCCAAGTCGGCATAAATCACCATAGTTACTACTCAGTAACCTAAATTACTGTGCAGTAATGTGTGCATGTGTAGATGCACCCACTGTGTCTCCAGCCAGCTTTTGCAGGCTCACGTCTGCCACAAAGGCTAGACAGGCTTCTAATGAAGTAGCCTGTTGCCTACAAAAGCTCCTGGCTCTCTGAACTAGTTGGTCTCTAAGGTGTAATGCTGTCCTCCCTGACTTTACACTACCTGCCTAACTTCCTCTATAGGATAAATAAGCTTTTGCCCATATCTGAGCTAAAATCAAACTCTGAACCTTCAAGGATGCATTCTGCAGTCTTGGCGGCCTCCTTAGATCAAGGCACTAAGACTGCAGGGTGAGGTCTATACATTCAAAACTTTAATGGATTGAATTTGTGGATAGTTACTCAGAGCCAACAAGCTCTCTATATTCTGTCTCTCCTGCAATGGGAGAATATACAATCTTGGATAGAGTCTTCGACCTCATCCTCTGCTTCAGTAGTTCCAAGCTCCTGGCCCAGAAACTGAAAGTGATGGTATCTGGATAGAGCAAGCCAGATAATGCTACAAATTTTGATCCCCGATGCTGGAAGTTTGGTCCCAGTTCAGATAAGGATTAATTCCTGTATCCTGTGTGATGCAGGGGGACTAAAACAGCGATCACAGTGCTCCCTTCTGGTTTTACAGCCTTTGAATCAATTGCAGTGGTAGCTGTGTGGGTGAACTGGTGGCTCTGAACATTACATGCTGGCTCTAAACCTTATACACACAAGCTAGGACATACAGCTTCAGCTGTTTTGCCATGATTATGCTTCATTTGAGAATGGAAATTATTATTCAGTGTCTCTTCTACAGCTACAAAGGGGATAATACGGTCAAGGCTGAGATCTGTAACCAGATGGTCTATGCATCCCAACACCCACCTGGAGGTAGCGTCCATCCCTCAGGCAACCACAGTTTTCCATGGACACACACGCCTCCCCATCAGACATGTAGCCATCGTTACATTGACATCCTTCAAAACACTTCTTGGTGCATTGGGGTGGAGTGGTCAGGCTGGCACAGGTGAGATCACAGTTCTTGGTACACAGCTCATAGTGGCTGTTGGCTGGACAGGTGAGGGCTAGAGAGAATGAGACAGAGAGCCTCTTACAGCCATGGAATGAACTACCCGACACATAGTAAGAACAATTTTGATCCTTTCCACCTGGTGTCTAATGGCCACATTACAACAGAAATTACATGGATTTCACAGTAAACCCAAGTGGCACCTGGTGGACAAATTGTATCAGAACTGGGAAAATGGCGATTTTAGCTGTGTGTGAGAATACACATCACGAAACTATAACAATAAAAATAATCGTCCGGAACAATTGGCCATGATAAGAATAAAAAATGTTGGAGGTGGTCTAATTTACCATGATAAATCGAAGTCTACCACAATAAAAAGACATATTTTCAGACACGACTAACCTAGTGAAATGGAGATTTTTGGTGACATTTTGTGACATGTATCTAAACAACGCATAACATGTACAAGAAACCATAAACTCTAGGGAGCTTTCCTGAAAATTAGCAGTGCAAGAATTACCTCCCAGGACTGTGCTGGGGTACCAAGTTAACACATATTTGGAGGGCAAAATGCTGTTACTACAACACTAATACGGTTCCTCTTCTATAAAGGAGCCGTCAGCGGCAGTGATCCCTCATGGTCGAGGATGATCACTCCCATGGGTCAAGTAAAGGGTCAAGTAGAGGGTTGTAAATGAAAGTGTAAAGAAGCATCCTAATGCTTGGAGGACTGTTGAATCACCATGGAACAACGTGGATGTTCCCTGTAAAACTAGCCACTACAGACCATGTTAGGCTTGTGGCATCTGCAAAAATCACAGCAGGTAGAAGGTCTCATAGAATTATGGAAAATGAGGATTGGAAGGGAGCGCAGGAGGTCACATCTAGTCCAACCCCCTGCTTCAAGGAGGACCAGCCCCAACTAGATCATCCCAGCCAAGGCTTTGTCTAGCTGGGTCTTCAAAACCTCCAAGGATGGAGATCCCACCACCTCTCTGGCTCTCCGGTTCCCGTGGTTTACTACCCTCCTAGTGAGAAAATTCTTCCTCATATCTAACTTCAACTTCCCTTGCTGTAACTGGAAACTGTTGCTCCTTGTCCTGTCATCTGTCCCTCCTGATAACAGTCCAGCTCCATCCTCTTTGCAACCACCCTTCAGGGAGCTGAAGGTTGCTATTAAATCCCTCTTCAGTCTTCTCCAGACTCAGTAAACCCAGTTTCCTCAGTTTCTCCTCATAAGTCATGTCCCCCAGCCTCTGAACCATTTTCATTTCCCTATCCTGAACTCTCTCCCATTTGTCCCCATCCTTTCTGCAGTGCAGGACCAAAAATTGGACACGAGACTCCAGATGTGGCCTCCTCAGTGCCAAACAGAGGGGAAGAATCACTTCCCTGGCTCTGCTGGCAACAATCCTACTAATGCAGCCCACAGGCCCTTAGCCTTCTTCGCAATAAGGGCCCATGCTCAGGTTCACTACAGATATAGGACTGATATGTGCCAGGTTAATGAAGACTACCTTGCAGATTGTTTTGTTAACTTACGGCAAAGGGAGGGCTTCCTCCACGCTCCGATCTCAGCACCTGCTTCTTGGCACGCAGTTACATATGCCTGGAGACTCTGGCAGAGAGTCTCTCTCGCCCCATTGGAGGCACACATGTCATAAAGGCAGTAGTTGACGAACTCAGCAGGGTTAACGTGTGAATGACAGGCATGGAACGGGCCTGAGGGAGCTCCGATCAACCCACAGGAGGTCTCAGCCTGGTATGGTTTCTTCTTGGCTGCATCGCAGACAGGGCATCGTCCATCACAGCCCTCAGAGCACATGGCACCATCATCAAGCACCCTCCAAGAGGACTCAAATTCGCTCAGGCTTTTGGTGCTCTTTCCGTTGGGCAGCAGGAAGTCATCATTTTTATTGCTGTTGAAGTTGCCACACAAGCCACGCATGTATCCTTTATAGGTGCTGGGGAGGGTCACGAAGGCACAAGAGAAGGTGTCATAAAGGACTTGGAGTCCAGCAGAAGTTTGAAGAATGATGTTGTTTCCCTCCTGGTTGACCTGAAGCTTCCCATTGTTCATAGTCACTGGCAGAGTGTACAGCTCCCCATCCACCTATGGCAAAGAGGGGAAAATGTGCCTATTATTGATGAGGACTGTACAGTTTTGTCTCATCTACACGCACATGTACTCATGTACTGTGTCCACGTGTCACTAGTGCCCCATGAAACGTGGATGAGTTTAACAAGATGCTTACCACTGCCTTCCACCTCATTTCTCTCTCCAAGACAATGGTGTGGCCGTAAATGAAGACCTTGATTGTCCTTTTCCGAGCCACACGGCCACTACCCATGCTCTCATTCTCTACCACCACTGAGAAGTTCATCAGCCTGGGGTCCATGCTATTGACTTTGGCCAAGGTGTACGTGCAATTCCCATGCAAGTCAAATGCTTTTCCATCAAAGGTCATGTAGTGAGGGTTGCATGACACGCACTTCCCGTACCCTAAGGGGTGGCAACCTTGGACACCGTTTACCACCTTACATTCTTCATTGGCATCACAAGAGACATCTTTGCACTCCAGCTCCCCGTCTTCATTGCACTGACACTGCTTATGACAAGAGGTACTGGTGTAGAATTCCTCCCCTTTCTTGTAATATTTGCCCTCATACATACAGCCGCAGTCTGTATATGGGACACACTTCTCTCCACTCAGGACAAAGCCTTCATCACAGAAGCATCCTTCTCCACAGGGAGCTTCGCACTCATCTGGATCCAACCTACTATGGCAAGTGGAAGGGCAGCCGGTCCCGCAGTAGTCATAATGCGAGTTTGGGGGGCAGTTGAGACCTGAAAGGAGAAGGCTGCAGTGAATGTGCAGGTCTACATGAAAGAAAAGTCTATTGGACTAACACCATGGACAACATGAGTAATACTGAGCTTCCATTGAGCCATTGTGGAGGGCAACAGAATGTGTCTTTTCTCATCTTCTTTATGGAAGAATTTATATAGGAACTTTCCAGGAAGGGGGTTACGTGTGGTGGTTAGGGTACAAATAACTGGAAGCTTGGATGCTTGGGTACCACCTGAAAGTCAGTGAAGGAAAACAATCCTGATTTAAGCTACTGAAGTCAGGAGCCAGGAGTCCTGAGTTGCATTATCAGACATGAGAAGCAATATCACTAAGAGAATACACTTCTGGGACTCTGACCCAGTGGGGTTTTATTTCAGCTCTTTAAGAGAATGTCATATAAATGGCTTTGCCAAAAGAATTGAAAACATCTTTGGACAGAAGACTGTGTTTTCGATAAAGCAGAATTGTCAATGAACTTGTTTTCTGCTGAAAGTACCAATTTTTGATCAAGCCCCCCAAAATGTTGATGCTTTGGCCTATCAACAAAGTGCTGACAACATTCATGGAGGAGAGAACATTTTCTGGCAAGTTGGTCTAATAAAAGATATCAGATTCACCCAAGGAACCTTGTCTGCCTTCTGGCAACCTATGCACAGAGCAGATGGCTATAGATACACTCTGTTTTATTTATTTTTTTGCCACTGAACTATCATCTGGCCCTGAAGAAGTCAGTTCGCCTCGCTCTATGAATATGGGGAGACCATCTATGCATGAATGTGGTTCTCATCATTATAGGATTTAAGCATCTGACAATCAATAATGGGGGATATCTTATTAAAACTACTGTGAAAAAAAGAGAAGCTTTATCCCTGCTTTACAGATGGGGAATTGAGGTATGTGGTAGATCATAGATTCCTAGAAACCCCCCTTCTCAAAGCAGGACCAGCCCCAACGAGATCATCCCAGCTAAGGCTTTGTCTAGCCAGGTGTTAAATGAAATGACCTCCCTGAGTGCATCTACACATGTGCTTTAATGTGCATTAGCTTATTTTAATCCACATTAAAGCACCACAAAAAACCTGTGCTCTTTAGCTAATGCGCATTAAAATAGGCTAATGTGCCTTTTTCTAGTACTTCACAATGGAGGTGCTAGATTTAATGCACATTACCTAAATCGCATTAATTGACAAGTAGATGTGCCTTCTCATGAGGTAACATGGGCAGACTCGGAGCTGGGAACTGGACCCGCATCTCGTGCACCCTCTAGCACAGTGCTCTATCTTACTATATTTTCCTCCTGAGTTTTAGAAGTGGTCGGTGAGGATTTCTGGCCAGCAGAGATGACAGCTCACAACTCATAAACAGGGAACAAGGCCACACAAAGTTCTTTGTTTCAGTTCCTGTGAATCAGGAGAGCCTGAAACTTAGGAATTTCACTTTAATAGTTTCATAGTTTTATAGATGTTAGGGGCTGGAAGGGACCTTTGTTGCATTTGTGCATCATTCTTGGGCCCCTGTACGTGTGATGAAGGGCCATTGTACATCTGATGAAACTGCTCCTTTTAGTGATTTAATTGCCCCTTTTAACGATCTAACTGCATAACAGTGTACACGTTCGGCGGCATATTACGATTCAATTTTGTAACAGTGTACAACTTCTGTGGAGTATTTTGATTTAACTGACTTTTTTATGTAGCAAAGTAAAACAAATCCTATGTATTTTAGTTTTCTACATAATAAATTACAGCAATATTTGTCATGTGTACAAGGGCCCTATCCTGACAAGGTGGTGGGGACAGTGCATGGGGTGCTGGAAGCCCAGGGGTACCCAGGGAAGCTTGGACTTGGCAGGCTTCCAGAGCCCCATGCACCATCCCTGCCAGCTTCCAGCACATCCAGCTGCCCTCCTGCTGCCTTCCCGCACTACCACAGGGGCAAGCCAGACCATTCCCAGGCAGTCCCTGATGGCGGGGAC